ATAACTACCTTACACTAGCGTTAAGAGTAATATAAATTTATGTTCACTTATTAGGACGAATGACATCCTCAGGGACAACAAGATTGATCCCATTAAAAAATACATAAAGGATAGACCCCTGAAACTATTTGCGAAAACTGACACCGCGTTATCAAATCTTAAAACGGTTACAGGCTCCTTAGGGAGGTATGCAGATCTGAGATCAATTATTGCTTAGTCTGATGAAGTGATAAACAATAATCTAGTCAAGGTGTAAAGAGGGGTTTTGAAAATACCTCGAGTTCAGAAAGAGTAAAAGTGCTTAAGTGCACTAGCTCAAAACAACTTCAACATAATAATTATTAGAAAGCTGTCTCTTTTACGAAAATAAGTCAATTTACGCATACAAATAACATTAATAAATAAGGTTTGAAAACTAAATATGAAATAATTGCAATAATCGCATTATATGAAACAGTAATGAACATTTCTTTTACATTTTGGAGCAGAAAACAAGAACAGCCGAAAGATTGTTTTAGTCCACTGACCCAATTTGATTTTCTCTGATTAATTTTTTTAACAAAATACAAAATTCCTTAAATACAATACAATCGAATCATATATTGCACGCACATATCTTTAAAATATTTCAATTTTGAACAACTGCAATTTTGTGCATTTTCACGTAAAACTCATTTCCTTGTAAATTAGTGAAAAGATATAAAAAAATAAAAATAAAATATAATGAAGCTACCAGTACCAGAACTGCTAAACTATGCTGCGTCATTCATTATTTTTAAGTTTTTCAAAACAGGCAGAACAATTTAAAGTATTTCAGATGCAAACACACAACAACAACACATACACAATACACATCCATCGTATCTAGTAACAACAGCAGATACTGGCAGATGCAGCAGAAAGTAATGGCAACGGTAAGAATATTAACCTTTTTACCGTTTGTATGTAACTACTATAAACATTGTAAAACATAAAGAAATATTGGTAAAAATTATTTTTTGATGTACAAAATTGTATCTAATATAACATCGAAAAATACAGACTTGAGCATTTAAAAAGAAGAAGCCACAATCAATTGCAGTCGACAACAGACAACAGTACAACAATAAAAACTAAGTTATTTGCTGTTTCATACGTTGTAGTCAATTGTTGTTGTTGTGGCGGTTGTTGTTGTTGTCTAACAATTCAAATGTAATCAAAAATCAATTGAAATAACAATAAATACGGCAACTACGTATACCAAGTCGAACAACCAAGCAGCAGCAGCAGCAGTAAGTATCTTGTAGTGTGATGTATCTAAGCAGTTGGTTAAATTCGAACTTAAACTGTATGTTGCGCACAGGTACACTCCATCTACTTCATCCACTCCATCATGAGGCAAGGCAATAAATTATTGGAAAATAAATTTCATGTTAAGACGCATGAAATCGTTTCGGCGTCATATCAATCAAGTTCAAGTTTCATACATAAATTTTTGGGCGGTAAAATTGATAACAAATGAAAAACATAAAATATTAATTCCCTACAGTAAATGTGAAAAGCGAATGCGAGTTCTTTGATTTCTGGTATCGTTTACTTCATTCAATCTTTTAAAACAAAATTCATGAAATTATTACAATATTTAATAACACTCCGAATACAAACTACAATTTTGTAAAGTTTTTTGTAAAAAATTATTCAATTCAAGTTTTAAGCTGACTTCCGGATAAAAATTTGTAGGAAAGATTATTCATATGATGTGAAGTTTTCTGTACTTTGTTTAACGATAAAACAGTTGAGAAACCTTTCGACTCAAACGAGATAACAGTATATAGAACATTATGTTTATGGAAGTAAATTACTCGTGTAAAATTTAAAATTGTATATACTTTTTCGATACCGAAAATTTATTACTTTACTGCATAAACGTTTATTACAAAATTTATGATAAGAAAATTGAATTAAATGAAGCATATACATTAATATTTACAGAATCCAGAAACAGAAGAAACAAAAACCAATCTATGTAAAAGAGAAAAATTAAAGACCATAATTATAAATCGAAGAAAAGATATATACTCGTCCTTTATATCATATATTTCACACTGTGACAGTTACACTTTCTCTTAGAAAAACAGACTCATCATTATGGGAATAGTCAGGAGATTGTATGAAAAGCTAGATAGGATTAATATATGTGATAGATATCGACTGTCAGGATAACCTAAGTCACAAAACGATAATCTTAATGTTTGAAAGAAATTGAAACTTTAGGCTCGACCGCACGGATTTGGCAAACAGATAATGTCTTACACAACCTGGCAGCTAAAAATCAAGTGATACAAAACTGGATGCGAAACTGTTGGCAATAAAGCAGCGGCCGAATTGGCTGAGGAAGCCAATTCAAGTCAACCATATGGGCTGAAATTAATACTTGAACTCAGCAAAAATCACTTTTAAGTCTAAAAAAAGACTTCATCAGTAGTAGAGTAGTTTACCTAGAAAGGTTCTAAGTCTACAACATACTTTTTCTCAAACTAACCAGAAGTGGTTTACCTATGAAGAATCTAACTCTAAAATACTTTTCTTCCCAAGCTATTCAGAGAATAAAACCAAATATCTCATATATATCTCTTATCTAAGATCGGATTAGATCAGATTTAAAATCAAAGATTAAAATAATAACCGGTCACTGCTTTCTTAATAAGCATTATGCTGACTTAGAACAACCGACGATGCAGACTATGTATAGAAGACACAGAAACATTCTTGAAAAATAAAATATATCTTGCTCTTATAAAAAATGTAAGATACGAGTATAATATTTTACAAAGAATTGATCCAAAACATCGATATGGAAAAAATTAGAACTTTTTTAAATACAGCTAAAGTGAAAGAAATTCTTCGCTAATATAGATAGAGCTAGGATAGAATAATATATGCCAATATTCAAGCTCACAAAATACTACTAATGACATTATTTGACAGGATAAGAGATTGGAGGGTTGGGTAGGACCTCAGAAATGTGGTTAAAGTGTTTAGGAGCTAACGGAACTTTCGTTCTAATAAATTCCAGAAACTTGCTTAAGAGAGAGAAGATCACGAAATCGATTGATATAATAAATGTTATGTTTGACTGAACATTTAAAATGTATTTTAAAAAAGTAGTAATATAAAGATACCGTAGAAAGGTGAAATATTACCGCTTCTTATTATCTCACATCATCTTATAGTATAAAAGACTTTACTGTAATTATCTTTTACATTACACATATAAAAGTATTTTATTTTATTTATTTATTTATTTAAATGCATTAAGGGACAACCCTTTTTATTGCAGTATCTTAAAGCTAATTTAAAGAATTAAAATAAAAATAAAAAATACAATAAAATAAAATAAAAGAAGTAATTAAAGTTAAAGTTTATTAAACTAACTAATAATTTAAACTGCCTTTGAAACAAAATTTTGAGAACTTGTGTAAATATATTCATTTTTACTCTTGATCTAAGTCTTCATAAAAAAATCAATGTTACAAAATCTTTAAAGTACAGTTTTTTACCAGACAGTCAATAAATAAAACTATCGATATCTTTTATTAAATATCTGTCGAAAGCAAAAGATTTTGTTGTTTAATAATTGAATTTAAATGATTTTCTTTATCCTGACAGATCAAAATGTCTGTCTGAGATGTATAAATTTATTTTATAACAAAGAATTTTACTTAATGCCACCAAACGGAAAAGTTGAAGAGCAAACTATTTTCCATACTTTCCGTGCTATTCGTACTCGTAGACACAATGTGTTAGGAATGCTTTTTCAAGATGCACTTGGAAATTTCTTTCAATTTTTAAGTAATATTGAAACAGTTTTATATTGTTGCATAAAATAAATAGTCATGCAAATAAACTAAGAAGGATAAAGGTAGCTTACAGTATGCCGGAAACTCTAAATGAGATACCGGCAACAGATTTAAAATAAAATATAATAGCTGAAAAGCAAACCAATGTAAGAAAGATAGTTGCAGAAACTTTCATAGATAGTGCTTTTATGCATTTATATATTTATACATATATATACATATATATATTCTACATATATATACATAAACGATGTATGTGAATACGAGAATGTGTAAAATACTTTTCTCTTCCAGCAATGCCATCAATGTTTTTGCTGGTCGGTTGTCGGTTGTCAGTCGCAAAGCGCCCATAGTACACCCACAACCGCACCACAAGCTGGCAGTGTTGGTAATGCATAGCACAAAACTTTATCCTAGACAAGTCTAACATTTTACTACGAGTATTAGATTGAATTCCCTTCTGATGGTGGAAGTGTTGTGCTGCCACACATTTATATTGTTGCAATGTTTGAATAGTGCGCTTCCAGTCAAACTACTCCTATAAAATGCCGGCAAACGGCTGCATCTATTTTAAACGAGCACGAGCACGAGTACGAGCGGGAATAGTTTTGTTTGCTTTGCGAAATAAGGAGTGTGAGGATATATTCTCTCCGTCTCTTCGGTTAAATGCATATTTACCGAGTGGTATTTACAGTAAATAATGAAATGATTCTGTGTATTTTGTGGGTTAAAAATAGTTGGGCGTACATTATGTACGGACATCGCATTCACTGGTAAGCAAAATGTATGTAAAGGGATTATGGGAGTACTTTTATGGGAAAGAGTTGTAATACTCTGTTTCATACTGGTATATAGAGTACATAAAGTATTGCAACTGTATAAGTGTAACATTGTGGTAGGTCATGGAACTTTTTACTATTTTGATGTAATTTTGTAGAGGAAAATTTGTTCCACAAGTGAAAAAAAAAATAGTTTTAGAAAGTAATAAATTTTGTATTACGTGCAAAGCTTAAGTAAAATGCAGCTGATGGCAATTTTAAGCATTAACATAAGTTTGAGAAAAACACACTTTTTTCTTACATATATTTACAGTGAAAAATTTTAAAATTTTATATAAAAAAATATTGAAAAATTAGTTATATCATCTTTGCTAATACTCACTTCTTGTACGGTGTTTTCTGGTTTTTTTGTTGACATATTCAGAAATCTTTCCTGCGATTGGCAAAATTTTTCTGTTTTTTTGTCAAATTTTTTCTTATTTTCTTTTACACCACCAATTTGTTTTTTCCTAAACTCCTCCAATGACTCGATATGTTTATCTGATAAGGTAAGCTAATAGAACAATATACAATGAATTGCAGATGTAATATAAAAATTTCATTTATATAGCAATACCATTTTTTCCCTTTCCTCTTCGATTGTGCCAATTATGGTACCAAAATGCTTTAAGCTTTCACAAATGACATGTTCATCATCAGTTTGAGCTGTGCCAATGCACTCGAAATTGAAATCCGTTAGTAATGTGGCCAATTGCTTCATACGACTCGATAAAACTGCAATGATAAAAAAAATCAAAATAGTTATAAGATATTAATTCTCAAATAGATATCAAATTTGCGCTTGATTTCAAATTTAATTTAAAAAATAAATACAAAAATACAAATTTAATGTGGAATGTTTATAATGGTATTTCATTTGTAATTTATCACTTCAAGGCGCACAAAAGTGAATTCGAAACCATAAATACCAAAGTTTAATTTAATTTATTGTCGTTTGTTAATGATTTATTGTTTAAACAGTCATAAATTAAATTAATATTATGCGAATGGCTTAGAAAATGACGTCTGACTTTAAATACGTAAACCAGCAAACGATGACAGGTTACAGGTATTAAGTTTCATAGAAACAGAACTGTATTGACATTATACTTTTCCATAAAGTTACCGAGTAAATGCTACAAAATATTCGCAGAAGACATTCATTGGCTTGTGGAATTTCAAGACTTGAATTTCAAATAAATTACAGTTTAGGTTACTTAAAGTATCTTAGATACAACGTCTTTTTTTTTTAATTTGAATACATGTTTGTCATAGATATTTTTCATATTGTATTTAAATTAAAAAGATATTAATTACAAATATTTATGATCTATTTTTATTAGTAATTAAGTGTAAGATGGTTATTAAGGAAGAAAATTTGAGGTATCAAATTAAGTAACTATACATATAATTCTAAAATTTTAATTTAATAAGTTGAAAGGGAGTCTTTTAGATACAAATATCGATAAACTTTAATCTGTTTCCACTTCTTTCTTTAATTAGAAATTTTTATTAACGTTTCAGTCTATGTGACATTTATATCCAATTATTTTTCATTTAATTTTGTTTTATACAGACATGCATATTATAAAATAATAAATTATTAAAGTAAAAAATAAATAATATAAAAAAATTAAAACTAAATAAAATAAAAAAACTAAAAATAAATAAAAAAAAAAATTAAAAATAAATAAAATAAAAAAATTAAAAACAAAAAAATTAAAAATAAATAAATTAAAAAAATTTAAAACATAATAAAAAAAAATAAAAACAAATAAAATAAAAAAATTAAAAACAAAGCATATAAAAAATAAATAAATAAATAAAATTTTAAATTAATAAAATAAAAAAATTTAAATAAAATTGAAGAAAAAAAATAAATAAAATAAAAAAGTAAATAATATAAAAAAGGTAAATAAAATAAAAAAAGTAAATAAATAAAAAAAAAATTAAAAACAAAAATATAAAAAATAAAAGACTTAAAAACAGAAATATAAAAAATTAAAAGAATTAAAAACAGAAACATAAAAAAATTACATTATAAAAAATTAATATATAAAAAATTAAAATATAAAAAATTAATATATAAAAAATAAAAAAAATTAAAAACAGAAATATAAAAAATAAAAAAACATGTATACAAATAATTAACAAAAAATATAAACAAGTATTAATTAAATGAATACAATAAATCCTCCTAAAAATACATATCTGGATCATTAGTTTATATGGAAGCAATACAAAATTAAAACGGATTGAAATTTTGGTACATTCCAAATTAACACGGCGTTCTTTCTTCTAACACCGAGTAAACAATCCGCACTAGCAGGTTTAGGCAGATAACTGCCTAATGTTTTTACTAACAAACAGCAAAGAATATAAACATGGAAGATATTTGATGATCTCCTCTTTCTAACTATCATCGTAACTTCTATAATAATTATTCCAGCTAATATACATTCTCAATGCGTCTTTTTATAGATAATAGATAGGTATAGGTCTATATAATATATAGACTATACAGATAGGTCTATATAAAATCTAGTGATGAAGCCTGTAAATATTGAAATAACATACTATTTTGGACGAATGATACATCCGACTTTGGTCTTTCTTACAAATTTAGTTAGACGTCTGTATAGACCCCATTTTCACACAGTCTATTGCATATATGAATATTAATTATAATTTTCTATAGAAACTTGTAGTATTGCCATATTTCAAAGATTAAAAAAAAATCTGGTAATATAAAATGACTTGAAAAATGAAGGATAGGCATTAATGTAACAAATGTTTATAATTTCATTGATCTATTTAAAAAAAAACTAAAATACTAATCTGTTCAATAACCGTTAAGCATCGGTATAAGTCCTATTTCCAAACTAAGAAATCAGTTTGTGCAAAAACAGATAAACAGATATGTGTACTTTATCACAAACATAAATCTTTATAGGATTGGAGATAATCTGTATAACCTTTAAAGTGTTATAAACAGATATCACTATATTGAAGTTTATATAAAGATTACGTTGAAGTTTATATAAAAATTTTATAAGTCTTTGAGAAGCTACCCTTTACACACTATGTTTAGGTAGGGTATGAAAATATGTATCTTATTGAAAGCATTATTCACATTTTGTTATTTTTTATTTAAAAAATACAAATTAGATTTAACAATGTTAAATATTTATATTGAACAGTTCTAATCATTTAATGATGTACATATCGTAACTTAGTCTACATGTGATTGATATAAATACCCTACATGCATGTGACAGTCAATATGAGTTTTTGACAAACAGAAGTAAAATAAAAATGAAAACTTGTTATTCTTTTACTTTCTTTTAAGTTTTATTGATATTTTTACTGTAATCGTATTGAAATTCTAATTTTTAACGTTTTATTAAAATTTAATTGCACCATATCTTTATCTGATATCACTAACAAAGTTGGGGCTCAATATCTATACTACATCGAACCAGTTTAAGCTAATATAACTTTCCTTATTATCTAGAAAGTTTATGTATTTTAGGAGATATCAAATATTTTTATAATACCCATTAACATTTATTTATAATCTGATAACTTAAAATAAATTGGAAATTTTTAAATTATTTGATTGAAATACAAAATAATGAAAAATAAAGAATTTTAGCTAAATAAAATTAAAATGAATTACTCAACCGTATAATTAAATACTGAGAAAGTATTAATTTTTTTAATTGTCTAGGTTTGTGAAAATATCGTTAATAATAATGAAATGCTAATTTTTCATAGCTATTATATACACGTACGGGTATGTATTTTTTTCATTTACCATCAATGCCGAACCAATTAAAAATAAGTACTAAAAAACTTAAGCTTATAAGTTTAATTTGTGTTAGCGTCAAAAAATAGGTGGGCATAATTAATAATTGCCACTTAAGGTAAATTTATGGAGAAATATATTGAGATAAATATATAAAAGTATCTTTAAAAATTTTATCTAATTTAAGTGATGTCATGAATACAAAACTAAATTTTTATGAGCAAATGTGGTGGGTTTATAAAAAAGCATTTTTGCAATAAAATATAATCAGACAACTCAAGAGAAATGACCTTAACCATGCAAAGTAAGATAGAAAAAAAATTGATTAAAAAAATACACTAAAAACATTAAGAGATATTATACACATATCATATAACAAACCTAGATACAAATACAATTTTTTGGCATTTACTGCCATAATAAATGCTACAGACGTTGCCATAAAAAAATAAAAATCAAAAATTCGTTAGTTTGAATTGGACGACGGTGCGCATGCGTAATCGACTTTTTTTTATCATATGACTAAAGTATCTCGTACACAAGATTCGTTATAAAATCGAACAAAAAAAACAAACAAATAAACACAACAAAAAAGTATATAAAAATCTCAAAGACTGATATTACTTTAGACCAGCTGGTGATGTTGTTGACCTAATTTGGTGTTTCTGTTTTGATATTTTTATTCTTAATTATTTTTTGGGGTCTTAGCGCAAGGGTTTTTGTAAGATGTACGCTTTTGCGAAAATGGTTTATGAATAAAGTTTATTAGAAATAAAATATTTTATAGATAAGCAAGACAGTCTTTCAAACTAATAAAAAATTAAATTAATTTTTTTTATACATCTAAAAAAATTTTTATGTTTGGAAAGAAGAGAGAACACGTTTACGTGTATTAGTAAAGTGAAAGTCTTAATTCTTGGAATAGCAGATTTGAAATATAATTCCACTTTTATTTTAGTATTTAAAACATTTCGCAAAAGGACCGGAGAGAATAAAAAAAAATAATTGGCTTAAAATACTTAATTAAAAATAACAATTTTCACAAAGAAATTTATATTTCTTTCGTTTTTTTTTTATAAACAGAAATTTTAATTTCTATTAAAGTTATATTATTTTTAAATATTCAACCATATAAGGCTTATATAAAAATAGTTATAAAATGAAAAGCTCACATAAATAAACAAATAAATTGCACCTTCACTAATAAAATTATTATAATTATACAATTTTCAATTTATTCTACTTTAATTCTAATTTCGTAACTATAATTACTAGTTTGTTTACATTTGTAGTTATGAAATTCATAGAAATCACAGATACATAAAAAAATTCAATTAATTATTTGCAGTTTTATAGGTTTTCAATCCACAGGTAATTCTAAAATTAGCTACAGCATTTTAAACTAATTCAAGGTCATTTTTACAACAAATAATCTTCATAACAAATGAGAATAGATATAATATATAATCATAACCTCTTCGCACTTCTCTGAAAAGCTGTATTCATTATTTCCAGTATCTCGCAAATGTAGTAGTTTTGATTTTCATCAGTCGAGCGTTTATTTGTGTTATTCTCGAACATCTGAGTTACATACATTAATAATTAAATAAACGGAAAAAACAAAGATAATGTATACCTTACATTTGTTAAAATATTATATCAATTCTCCATAAGTAAAACGTTCTTTATTCGGCATGATCGAAGCAAGTTTACGCTATAATTTATATACTCGAAATAAAACGTCGATTAATTTTTATTTAATTACACTCTTGAACCGCTTTTAGAGACCGTAACTGAATGCAGTCTGCTTAGTTTTAGTATATTTAGTTCAAAGTCAACGAAATTATTTATAAGAAAAACTAAAAAAACATTCAGAATCTTCCAGTTATAAAACTTTTAGTGGTTAAAAGTACACAATGGCTGCCAG